AAAGGCAAATTGCGGACTTCCTGTTGGAGATAGGTCAGGGGTGTCAGTGCGAGATTTGTGGGTCTCATTGAGACGAACATTTTGATGTTGGTTTGATCTCTGTACGACATTCCTACTGGGCGCTAGGGCCATTTTAGTGTGACCCCTGCTTGCTGCAGCAAGTAGGGGTCCTCGGACCCTAATAACAGAATAATATCAGCAATGAAAACAATCCTTAGTTGCAGCTCTGATTCATCCACTTGGGTTACGTTCACAGGCTTACAGTAAGCAATCAGTAATATAAGATTTGTCCATGTAAATCCCAAATAAATTCATATGTAAAATAATTTCTTTAGGTTGTGATTAAAGTTTTGCCCTCATTAAAGATGTCAGCCATTTTGGGGCATGTTTGGGCTCTTGTGACTCTTGAGGACACCTTCAAAATGCAAAACCAGACTGATCAGATGACAGCAACAAGACAACAGCATCAAATTACACCTGTTAACCTCGGTTTGTGGTAGAAACGTGAGCTCCAGACAGCCCTGTTTTCACTATCTGGCGAAGCATTTGACCAGAAAGGAAGAATCCCAACTGCCATGAGGTGGGCAGAGACACAACAACAGACATAAAAAAACAGGGGATAGTGGAGATATGAAGCGACGTTAGCTTGCTAATGTTGATAGTACTGATTAAAAAAATTACCCAAAACACAGCGATGGTGTTTTACTTGCATTCTGAGTGACCGTCACACGCATGCACAGCCGTATGTAGCAGCTCCAGACTCGAGCTCGAAGCACTTTTTATCGGCTACGTTAGCTAGCTTGACATCTGGCCCTAGCCCTCACGCAGCCCCGGTCTTCGCCCAAACATCTCCGAAGGGGCTGCTAGTCAAAGCTAACCAGGGGGAGGCGGCCGGCCACGTTCCCGGGTAGGCCGGAGAACGGAAGAAGTACCGTTTGCGAGCTAGCTACCGTGACCTATGGAGCCGCACAGCAACCGCCCGCCCGCCCGCTGGGGTCTTCACGTACTCACCGGCCACCGGAGCGTTTTCCGTCGAGGAGGAATTACAAAGGCTGGGAGGGCGGGCGAAGAGAAGGAAACGGCTCTGCAGGCATCTGTCCATGCAAGGCAGAAACTCTCCGGAGAGGGAAACGGCAGCTTTGTGGTGAACAAATGTGATGCTGTGCCAGGCAGTAGAGCACCGAGCCGAGGGCTGCAGCTGCAGCACAGAGGAACGGCTCTCACGGCGCATGCGCACTCAGCGCACACCCCTCCAGCAGAGTGCCCCATGGCTGCTCTTCTTCTTCTTTCTTTCTGTTTTTTTTTTTTTTCTTTTCTTCGTCTTTGAGGTTTGACGGCATTTGGCATACGCGATTGTTGCATTACCGCCACCTTCTGTATTTATTCTTCCCCGGTGTCCGATCACCATAACAATGAAAACATGGCAAGTAATGTGTGTCTGCAGCTGAGGAGGCTTGCCATTTCAGGACCACATTTCTAGGACCCTTGATTTTTATGAACTCCTCCTTGGGGCCAGACACCATGGCAACCTTTTTTTTTCTTTTTTTTTTTTTTTTTTTTTTTTTTTTTTACTCCAAACCGGGGCATTTCTAGCCTACAGACACTGACAAAAAAAGAGACCATAGGTGGACTTAAACAACAATTTATTTGTTTAAAAAAAAAAAAAAAAAAAAATTTAAACTATCTCTCTCTCTCTCTCTTTTTTATTTTTATTTTTTATAAAGGTACGATGTGGGTGGAATAAACTTTGAAAAATTACAACTCATTCCTTTTAAAGGTACTATTTGGGTGGGGTAAACCTTTAAGACTTCATTGAAAAGGTACAATTTGGTTGGAACAAACCCATCAAAACTATAACTCACTTACTAAAAAAGTACTATTTGGGTGGGATAATCATTTAAACATGTAAGTGCGTGGACTGAAAGTGTAGTATACCTTTAACATCCATAATTTGTTTGGTATAAAAGTACTATATGGGTGAAATAATCTTTAAAAACATCTGCTGTCCTGTTTTCCCCAACCCTTTGTCCCCACTCTCGCCCAACCAGTCAAGGCAGATGGCCGCCTTCCCTGAGTCTGGTTTTGCCTGAGGTTTTTTTCCCCCTCCCATGGGGGTAGGGGGTTTGGTTCCTTCTCCCCGTTGCCAACCGCTTGCTCAGAGAGAGTCCAAAGGCTAATTTGGATTGTCGGGTTCTCTGTTTAAATTTGTAAGGTCTATACCCTACTATGTTAAGCGCTATGTGATGACATACGTTGTACACTACGCTATACAAGTAAAATTGAATTTAATAGAATTAAAACTCTAAATACTTGGACAGACTGTACTATTTTGGGTAAACTAAACCTCAAGAAATATAACTTGCTTGTTAGAAATTACTAGTCAGTGAAATACATTTTCATCAAAATCACAAGTTCTTGGAAAGACAGAGGTATTTCATGTACAATAAACCTTTAAAACTACAAGTCATTCATGAAAAATTACTGTTTGGGTGGAATACACTTTTGAAACTGACTAAAACAATAGTATTTGCATGGAGTAAACCTTTAAAAACCATAGCTTGTTCGTTACAAAAGTAGTATTTGGTGAAAAAAATGTTTAAAACTACATTTTTTGTTAAAAAAAAAAAAAAAAAAAGAAGAAGAAGAAGAAGAAGAAGAAGAGGAAGAAGTACTCTTTGGGTTTAAAAAATATAAATCATTTGTTGAAAAATCATATTTGGGTGGAATAAACTTGTAATAGGATATATGCTCATACAGAAAGTGGATTATGCCTTTAAAAAACATAAATTGTTTGTTCGTTTAAAAAATAAAAAACAAAAATTGTAGCACTTGGACAGCCTGTACTATTTTGAGTGAAAAACCAACTTAGAAAAACATAATTTTATGAGTTATCAACTTACAAAACTTGTTTGCACTATCAATCATTAAGAAAGTGGTAATTAACAACACCTTTAATCGAGGAAAAAACAAAATCTCCTTGCATGTCTGTGTTGACGGATGGTCTTTCCAGTTTGACATAGATGGCTTCTTTCACCCGTCTCTCAAACCATCTGTCCACGCTGGCCAAAATCTCTCCCAGTCCTAAGATCTCTCCCCAGGAAGATGAAACTACATCCACACCTAGCCACAAAAGACCCTAACGAACCCCTTTGTGGCAGGGTAAGCACTAACGACCCATATAACAAGGGGGAGGACCAACAAACCCCCAACTGAAACCGTAACTCAGGTGTTAATGGCTCCTTTAGGATGTAAGTATCTGGAACTCCTGCTCCAGCCGCTCGGATGAGAGGTGAAACATCTTCAAGGATCTCAAGCAAGTCCGGTTGCTATGATTAATCTACCAGAAAAAATCTCCTAACTTGATGTAGTTTGTTAGTTGAACATAATTTCATTAGAAGTTGTCATAATTTTTAAAAACTATATATTTTTAATCAATTCTCTATTATAGTCTGGTGTGAACTGCCAGTACTGTCTATTCTATTGTACATGTTTTTATTTTTCTTACCTTTCAATCTTTTTAGAGTCAATTGGTTTAAATTATTCTATAAAATTGTGTACACTTTATGTAACTTGTTGGTACTGTTTTTGAATTATTTGAACCGCCAACCTTGTGATGGTGGACAACCCACTTGACCACTAGGGCCACAGCTGCCCACCAAGTCTGCAACTGTGGTCAGGGTAAGTCTGGTTTAAATGTACATACGCGCCTATGTTTTCAGAAACTACACCGCCAAGCCATCCGTACATGGGGGCCTTCGTGCAAGTCAGGGTGCGGATGCGGATACAAAGAATGATACTGAAAACAAATTAGAACAGGGACTAACATGGCTTCCCACGGGCCTAGATCTTCCATCAACCATTTGTTAAAGGAGCAGCCAGCTGAGTCTGAGATGCCAAATGCATCACATGGTTTCTCTAAGATGGTGATGACTGACGCTATGTTATCTGACATTAAGGTTACACACCAGGTTGAGTTACAACACCATGATGTTAAGTTTAATATATAGCCCACTTGTTCTACCCATAAGGAAGTCAAGAGCCATTTCATGTTTCAACAGTGTAAAACGGTGGGATTTTAGGGTAGTACAAAGGAGTTTAAAGCCTTACACCAAATATGTGATGTTTTTTATATGGTAAGCTAGAAACAGTACTCCACACCAAGGAAACAACCCAATTCCTCACCAAAGGACACTTGCCAGTTATATGATTCGAGAGTGTCAAAGAGTGCCATGGATCTATGCATGAGGGAATGGTTTGGTTTTGTAGCTACAATTGGATAAGGTTTGTCTAATTAAGGTGCAACAGCCCCACCAGCTTTGGGGCAGGTATAAATATACCTTATTGCCACATTACCACAGCTGGTTGAAAGAGGTGCGAGTGCCTGGTGAGATTTCAAAAATATGGTTAGATGTTTTGATGGTACCACTATTGACAGTGGTGTTCCGAAAGGCACGCTGAAACCGAATAAAAATCAGTCCAATATTCTTTGCCCTTGGAAATGGACATATTTTGTCCTCTCCCATTGTTACAATGGCAGACGTCGAACTCAAGGTTGTCTGGGTTATACAAGAGAATATCTAATGGAACGGAACCTTTGGCATGGCGTTCACAAATGGTGCTCTATTTTGGCAGTGAAAAGCGATGCATGTCCTAGTTTTAAGGGGTGAGCAGTCTGGTCTGATTGTACCAGCCAATTAAATGTGTCTGGCAGGACTCTGAAGTCAATTAGTCTATCTTACAGAGAGTCTTTTTACATTTTGCAGCAGTGTTTAGGCGATAAAGGAATGTGATCTCTCTGGCTATGTGGGAGCAATCATTTTGTGGCTAAGGAGATGGTACAAAAATGTCTTCAGAGCTAAGGGGAAGAAAACAGGTTAAGATCCTCATCTGGTTAGTTACTGACTTGGTTCAAAATGACAGAAAGGACCACCAGGAGTTATGGTCTGGCATATATGAAAGACCACGGTGTGTCTATAAACAAATCTCACTTTTGCTGTGTCAGTTCTGCCAGATCACGGTCATGGGCCATCTGTGTGGTTGTGGTTGGGTGTACTTTAACAGTTTGCTTGAGGTGCAGCCAATCGGTGTGTGTGAACAAAATGGGAACAACAATAAAGAGAGAAGCCAATGTTAAACAACACAATGTGCCTCTAATACCATTGAGTCCTTGATGTCTGAATGGATGCCGTGGTGGTCCACATGATCAATCCATTGTTGTCCAGCTTTGGCAGCGGGCTGTTGATGGTCTCTGGCTTGTTTGCGGGTTGACACCTACATGAGGTGGAGAAGCAAACAAAACTTCATATGGGGACGAGCCATTACTTGTTCTCCTTCTCATTATCATGTGCATCAGGACCAGCATTGTTATTCCCCATCTGGGAATGATTTGTGTCATCAATGCTTTTGCAACCACTCCCACTGTCTGTTTAGAGGAAGGAAACATTTCATCCCATTTGGACCACATGTCCACTGTTACTAGGCAGTGTTTCTGTCCCTCAGATGCACTGAGCTCAACAAAGTCCACTATGATGTGCTTAGATGATTTGGTTGGAGGTGGATTTGCAGCTTGTTGGGTTACAGTTGTTGGTCTGCCCACATTATGTGTGGCACATGTCATGCATGCTTGGCAAAATTTTCTCTGCAATGCTTTCCACCATCCCCCCTTTTGACACATGGTCTCTGCCATGTGTCAACTTAGCATGTTGGGGGTAGAAATGTTTGGGCTGGCATGGTTTACCATGAGGGCCCTACAAAATCAAATCAGTGAATTTGCAGCCTGATGACTGCCACTGAGTTTTCTCTTGAGGTGTAGCAAATGACTGTATTGGAGAGAGAAACAAGACAAGTGAAACCATCTGTAAGACAGCATCCTGTGGTGATGTGAGTGGGAGAGGCAGCTGCATCTGCTCACAGGTTCCCTACTGAAACTGGGTCAGATTTAACGGTGTGTGCTTGGCATTATCAAATAGTGATTTGAGATGATAACAAGATGGCCTGTAGGAGAGCACTCAGTTTGTCATAATGCAAAATGAGTTTGCCATCTGATTTTAAGAAATTTCTGGGTTTACACAAAGCACCAAAATTGTGCACCAAGGGCATACCTGAAGTCAATGTAGACAGTCACAGACTTACCCCTCAGCAATCTTGCATGCAGTAGTGAAAGTGATTGTGCAGAGTAATGAGAAGGGAGGGGACGAGGAGTGATTACAGCATGGTCACAAACAATGGCAAAGCCTGTACGT